ATACATGTAGAATCACCGGAGGCAAACTCCGATGTCTTTCATTTGTCCCGTGTTTACAGCACATGTAATTAATTGTTGTTTCAATCAAAGTCACGCCCACCCTGAATAAACCGACTCCCTCTGAAAACCGACCATAGATCCCAGTCCCAGTCATGGTCGGTTTTGACAGGTTTTACTGTATTATAACACTTTTACCCCAGGTTCCTATGGAAGAGATATTATGCAATATCTAGCCTGGTGACATAGGCTGAAAAAAATCCTATATTGTTAATGATGGAGTACTTTTTGTTGTTTTGAATTATTTGAAAAATCTAGGTTTTAAAAAGTGTCAAAAAATTTGATTTTTCTTTAACATTATGTTCTATAGAATTGTTTTAAAAATAGTAATTTTCAAGAAATATTAGGACACGTTTCTGAAAAAGCACACACAAAATAATGCTATTTAATTGTACCATGAGACATTAGCTTCATGATTGTACATAATAACGTAATGAACATTGTCATACGATTGATGACCATTTTTGTCAAAAATTATGACTAGGCTAGGCTTCTACCTTAATAAATAAATGAAATAAAACACTTTTGATTGCAATTGCTGGCTAATGTGCGATTGTATTGAAGATGTGCAAAAATGGTGATATAGTAGGCTTACCAATTCTGGATCAGCATTAAATGTTAATGTGCCTTCATCTAAATCCAAGTATAACTTTCTAAATGAGAAAGAGTTACCATGATGCTTTCTATAAGCCGATACACAACCCCAGGTAGCTCTACAAAGCCTAGAACAATAACACAAAGATATAAGTTAACAAGTCATTGTCAATGACACGTCCCCGTTCCATTCATATTTGAGTGACATATACATTCAAAGCAGATCATGACCGAAATGCACCTGCATATGTACAACACATTGTCCTAAATCTGAACAAAATCCATCCATGCATGACTGAGATCTGGTTCCGGAATTGTGAAAATACGTGATTTTAATGCATTTTCGGTCTTAAAATGGCCATCATTCAGCTATTGTTAAGTGGATCATGAAACAAATGCACATATCTATTTGTGACATGATGCACCATGTGTGTGTGAAGTTTGAACTTGATCAATCCAGACATGTCTTGGATACGGATCCAGAACTGAATTCTTTAAGAAAATGGCCGCCAGTCGGCCATTTCGAACTTGATCCGGGAAAAAAAAATGACGTGCATCAAGGTCCTATTATGTTTAATGTAAGTACCAAATTTGAACGAAATCCGTCCATGCATAACTGAGATCCGGGTTCGGAATGGTGAAAATGTGCGATTTCAATGCATGTTTCGGCCTTAAAGCGGCCGCCATTTGGCTATCGTTAATGGGATCATGAAACAAATGCACATACATATTTGTGACATGATGTACCTTGTGTGTGTGAAGTTTGAACT